CATTTTTTATCACTCTCTTCTGAACAAAGTTTTGGAAAATGTCTTTCAGTTAATCTTTCAGAATCAATATCAGAATATCAGAATTTCAGAATCAATATCTGAAATATTTTGCATCATTTCTGCTATTTCATGCCCTGTTAAAACATTTTCGACGCTTCGACATTGCAACGGTAAAAACAGAACTCACGTCTAACAAGATCTAATTATTTTCTAAAAACTGAACTGCAAACCGAAATACCCAACGCTTTAGCGCAAATAAAACTTCTCTACTTACAGTAAACAACTACCACGTGCGAATAAAGTGCGATTTAAAGAGACGTCATAAATCACGCCATTCGGAAACATTTATCTCCCCGTTTGTTTATATAATCAAAACACGTGTATGTGAATCATGCTTCTCTCATTTCGAGTAGAGGTCTAATGTACATGTATCTGAAACCATGTGGACATACAGTGCCATCTTGTCGCAGAAATTATAGTTTTTCAAACGTTCTAGGACACTGGCACAAATACGTGACAGTCGGTAGTGAACGGGAAAATGCTCTGGCACGCCTGCGTGTCGGCCGGGAGGTGAGTGTGTTCGTTGCTGGCACGTAGATGTGACAGTCGCCGCGAAGGGGTTAAACGCCATCTAGCGGGGAAAGGAACAATCTTTAGTCGACCTCCAGCCGCAATGATGATAGGTTACTATGTCTCTGTAATTCTAATGTTTGATGTTCCACTTAGTATATGTTTCATTTTTATGTATATATTTTTTGTTTGTAACCGTTCCTGTGCGCTCTGTTAATAAATCCTTTTAAATCTAGCCGGCATTAGTTTGTATTGAGGAACGGCTACATCACAAATCCATACATAGGAATTTGTTATGCTTGTTATAAGAGCTTTAAAAATAAAAGAAATTTATATTAAAAGGTAAATCTGAATATTGCAATACTTTCTATTAAATAACCATTGCTCAAAAATTCATATTATTTAATCAGAAAAGGGTTTCCTCATTCACATTCCATGCTCGTTAACACCTTAAACCGAAAATTTAAACTATCACTTCCTTAAAAAGTTTTAAAATTATTACCTACTGAGCGTATGAAACTGTAAATGAATTTTCTCTTATTATAACAACGACGTATTTTGTGCAGAATAAAGATGCCATTATAAAATTATTCAAATAAATTAATCCTATTCAGCAAATTAAATAAATCCACCAGCAAACTTTGCTTGCAGTTGAGTCACCAGTCTGAAAAAGGGAACTAGGCATATAACTGAGTCATAGATCTTTGCTTGTATAAGTATTAAGACACTAGTGTAGTTGTATGTTTTCTGACCGCTCGTCTGTTCAAGGGTTACCTTTCTCAGAAATTCATTTTTCCGACAGAAATTATTTCCTGTATAATATTTTTACGTAAGGGTTTTAATAAATATACTCTATATTTTGTTTTTATAGCAAAACATAGTATTAATAAATGCTTATATCCAGGTTACGGTGATATACAAAGTGCGACACATAGTTGTTTTAGTTTGCATTGAATTGTTGATTATTGAAGTTTCAGACTTATCTCTTTCTTCTCTTCATGTAGACGGATTATGTTACGTTGTTGCTGTTGTTGTTACCAATCTTACTTGTCTGACAATAGTCTGTACAAGCCCACGACTTTCATCAAGTCAAATGCGCCTGTTGTTGGCAAGAGCGTTGAGTACTATAGAGGTGACAGCCCGACATTAGTTAAGTTCTGCCCCCAATTTTAAGAGGGAGCAACCCGGAGGACGGATGCGAGGGTCTCCCATCTCTTTTCTCCTACCATCAATCTCTCGAGAAGCCTTTCATCTCGCCCCATGTTTAGAAGGCCCCCATGCTGCAAAGATACTATACATTTCAAACATCCATGACTTTTCCGGGATTCGAACCCGAGTCCTTCGGTACTGCAGTCGAGTCACTAACCACTATCACGCGTGGGCATCTTATGTAAGATTTAAATACATGTGTGTTCCATGGAGATTTCTGTATTCTACGCGAGATGAGATCAGAACTTGCGAATATTGTTTTAATTACATAGATCTGCTGAAAGTGTATTTGACAGCAGTCGGAAAAGAAGCCAAAAGACCCTTTATGTTTCTTAAATAAGGCAAACATTTTTTATCAGGATAATAAAGGAAAACTTTCTCGGATTAGTTTCCATCATTACGGTCTTTTTTCTGAACTTAATAAACCTATTAAAGATAGCGCTGTAATAGTTGATTGCTTTCATGGCAGCATCTGTGAATCCTTTGAATGCTACAATTCACTTTCACTAATAAACCACTTTTGATCTCGATATCAAGCATCGAATATCAAGCAAATTCATTCTTTTAAGGCTCTTATTAAAAGTTTGTTTCGGACACTTTTTATGTTCTACTTCTGTTCCCCAGACGGTGTCAGTTATAAAATACTGAAACATCTCTCCTGTAAGTCAATGAATGACTTTCTGGCTCTTTACAATCCAGTGTGGAGGAAGTATACATTTTCTTGCGCATGGAAGAGATCTGTAGTCATTCCATAGATAAACCAAGAATAGGTCTGAAGAATTCTTTCAACTATTGATCTATATGACACTTACGACTTCGATTTGCAACATGTTTAAAAAATGGTACACATATATAAGAGAATTACGTAACCTTACCTATCAGAGTAGTTTCCCTAAAGATAGATATGCTCCTTCTGCAAACCTCTGTCCATAAGGCTTTGGCTTTTGTGAAACAAAACATCTAGTTCCTGTCTTTTTTCATATAGAAAAGATTTATTTTAGTCTCTATCAGAGGCATGACTATAATGAATTTTGCGTGATTTTTATGCTTAGTAGCTGGTGTTCAACCTACCAACTTTCATGCAGAACCTTTAGATTTTTCAATTAAATTTTTGTCTGTTTTGCCAGATGTCTATAAACAAGAAAAGAATAAGGCTCAAGGCTGTGTTTTAAGAGCCACCTTGTTACGCTTAAAAACGCTTTCTGTTTTAAAAGAACTTCCTCGAATCACTTCAGGATCCTATCATCGTGACAAGGAGTCGAATGCACTTCAGATCCCGTCATCGTGGGCGGCCTATATGGTGACGATGGTAAGGGTGCTGATATGAGATATGTGAAGATACAGTTTCAGATTGCTTTAAACAGAATCTAGATATGGTCAGACAAACAATATTCGACAAAAAATATTTTTAAAGCAAAAGACTATTTATACGCACTTTTATAGAAAGCTAAGTCTCTATTCGGAGACGGAGGTTTTTGATTAAAGTTTTTAAGTGTGATTTTGAAAGCACATTAAATATGCACGTAATTTACCTGAGGACAAAGTTTATACTTTTAAAATGATTATAAATTTATTTTTAAACATTACTTATCTCTCATTTTAATAAGATATTCTTATGTCATTAAGAAACAGAAATTCAAAATAAGTAAGAATCTATAGAATAACGAAAGCTATAAGAATCGATCATGATTAAAAAAACACATATTTTAAGGATCTCAATTTTTCAAAAGTTTAAACACGATATTTAAAACAATTTACGTTTGAAATCAAATACCATTCATGAAATTTGATCATTAAATGTCAAAATCTTATGAGCAAAACAAATTCAGATGTTAAACAAAAATTTTCTTTCTTTTCTCTCCAAAATATACGCTTAGAACTAGTGTCTAAAAAGTTTGACGTATCGAGGTAATTTATATATATATATATATATGTATTTTAGAAACTTAAGAAGACCAACATTAAAATCTCTGTATTTTATTCTGTTACTGGGGCGTTAAAAGTAACTGGAAACAGGAGAGTTTCACAAAAGCTGTATCAATTCCCCTTCAATTTGTTTCTCTATCAGAGAAAGGTTACTTTTATTAAAAAAAGTCAATTAGAACATCTTTTCTGAAAAAAACACTAATACGTTTAGAACTCGTATGCCAGCATGATTTTCTTTAATTATCTGTTTTTCATTTAAAATTGTTTTGCTCATGAAGGGAGCATTTAAGTTCATTGTGTGATTTATTCAAAAGGTAAAATGTATTACAAGCGTTTCTTTACTACGGACGTCAAATACAAGACTTTAGAAATGTTTGTGTTTAAATATGATACGGCTTTTCGAAGTTTTGAAGATTATGAAATGTTGCTTTTTCATTTCATACTTTTGAAATGCCTAACTCTTAATTTATATCTTTGAAAGGTGCTAGCCTTTAATTTACTGCTTTGAATGTTAAAATATATTTGCAGTCAAACTTACATTAACTCATAAAATATATTTCCAGCCTTTGGTACTATACATTTCAGTTCATTGTCGACATGTTTTATAGCGGAACATAAAAAAATTTGTTTTAAATTTACGTATGTTTTTGTAATATTTTTATTATGTCTCTCGTAATAAAGTAATAATAAATTACATCTGTACTGTATTATTTTACACTACTTTATAGCAGGTTTGGTATTGTCATCAATTGCAGTATACTTACTGGACATACAAGTCGCTTGAGATAGTGGCATATCTCCAAGATATTAATGAACAGAAAAGAATTATTTTAGAAAAAAATATTTAAATAAATTATTATAAGAATTACTACGATTTATTGTAAGTATTAAAATTTAATATAAGAATTATTTAAATAAATATTGATTCAAATTATTTATTTTCTAATTGTGATAAACAGATAAGTAAATTTCCCAAAAAAATTATAAACGAAAATTTATTCTCCTTTTTATATGCGCATTCCTGAATTTATTAACAACATGGTTATAGTAAAGTGTTCCCCTTAAAACTGTGTTCTCTTTTAATTAATGAAGATTATTGTTTAACTCCGCAAAAAAGGTTCATTATTGAAGTTTACCTTTTGAAGCATTTAAATCCTACATAACTTTAGTAAAGTGAATTGCTCTAGAAGTAGATATCGTTTCTCTTAATTACGTAATAAACTTAGAGCTTATTGTAATTTTCTTCTAATTTATGCTTGGATATTTCTTAATATTGTTTTAACTTTTTTAGGTTTACTGGGAAGAACGTCATAATATCGTTTTTAGTCAAGAAAGGGCATATTGTCATTAAACAATGAAGAAACTGTTTACAGAAACGCATGCAAATATAACAACAATTTTGATAATTTATCTAAACGTGCAGAAAATACAGTCAAAAGAGACCAACATATCTTTACACCAAAACATTTTTTGACCTACAATCATATTCACATTTAGTCCTCATCGATAGAGTATCCAAAGTTTTTAATCCACACGTCGACAGTAGGACAGGAGAGTTGATACTGTACAAGACTGTCTGCAACATTCGTCAACAACACCCCTCGGTCTTCTTTTGTGGAAAGCTGTCAAATCAGGATTGGTCTGGCTGGCTTCAAGCTGGCCTTTGGATGTCAAGGCAAGGACAAGCCATTGAGGAAAGGAATCTGCAAAAGATTTTTGTTCAAAATACATAAAAATATTTAAAATGTTACATCTTTATAAATAAATTCCAAATAAATATGGGAAAAAATCTAAGAATTATTTATTTCTATTACTTCCAAAATGCTTTTTCTTCTCCAGTAAGTGTTTGTCTTTATCGCTTTCCTTGCCACGATTTAGCTTAATCGAACTGATTTGCATTCCTGTTTAACAGCCAAAGGAATTGAAAATTCAACTAATTAATGTTATTTATTATTGTTGGTTATAATTTAGTGGTGTTGATTAATTGTTTAGGATCTTTTTTATTAAAGAAGCCCACAAAACTGTGCAAATTATTAGTTGTTATTAGTTCATAATTTTTTTTTCCAGCAAGAAAAATAATTTTCGAAATATTTGGGGAACGAAGTAGGGGCACTTCAAGAATTCTGTTTGTCATTATTTTGAAAAACTGTAAGATATATTAGGAAGAAATCTACTTTTTTTTAAGATTAATCACCAAAGCAAACAGTTTTTCCTCCTTAAGATTTCCTTAAATGTCTCGTATTTTCGTTTAGGTAAAAACTAACGTGTTAAATTTATAAAATTTAGTGACTTGTTCTGTAATATTTCTTTTTAGCCAAAATGTATAGATTTTTTTCCTAGTTTATTAAAACATATGTGATTATTTTATTAATCGGATCTTTCACTCTATAAGAACTATATAAAATATTTATTTTTTATACAATCGTTCACATTCAGAACTTGCTGTTAATAATTGTGTTAAAATACAGCTTTTTAAACATGGACACTTAATTGTGTCTATGTTTAAAAAGCTGTGGAAGTTTGCTTTTTGGAATAAATATTTGAAAAAATACCCTCAGCAGCAAATAATTTCACGTACCATATACAATGCGAGTAACTCCGAGTTATATAACTTTCCTCATTAAAAGCGAAGACTAAAAAAGAAACATCATTAAAATAATGAATTTGATTTAAAAAAAAACACGCATTTATACAATTGCTAATGAAGATGATGCATGCTAGGATAACCAGAATACCCTCTGCTTTTCTTTCTTTTCATAATCTCGAATTTTCTGTGCATGTATTTATACATCATTATGTCCCTTATAATATGGAAGGAAACACCTGTAGGAATTTGTATACAGCACAGACATATTCTAAACAAGCAACTCCTTTCAAGCATTGCATCATAACAAATATTAGGATCGCGTAAGTTTAGTATACCCAATCCTTCGAATCTGCTCAAACCTTAATGCTTAAGAAGTAATGCACTTTAAAATGACATTGACGTACAAAATGTCACTATCAAAGACAGTACCCGTCGAAGAGCCCACAATAAAGTATTAATACTCCTGATAGCTTTCAATCAACCAACCAACAATCTTATAGCTTCAGTACACTGATCCATGCATCTTGAAAAGTGAGCAAATAAGGGATTAATTTAGCCGATGTACACTGAAACCCGTCTGTGGTACACCTCAGCTTTGGATTGAAATCATAATTGCAACGTACATATCCCAGAGCCCTAAATCAGGTGAGATACGCTACTTTATTGAATAATAGAACTTCAATATAAACAGAAAACTCTTATTAATGCAGCAGTAAAACTGATATTGTTAGCAACCCATATACACCTCATTTGAGTTAGGTAAAGCAAAATGCTTGGGAAAAACTAGCGCCTAAGCAAGCAATGCCTCATTTGGAAATGTCATCTCTTCAGGTTTGGTTTACTTGATTATGACAAAGCATTCGAGATGCTATCTGACTAAGAGGAGAGACGCCTTCAATAAGAATTTTCGATGAGAAACTGGATCGTATACGTGTTGCACATTTAAAGACCCACGAAAAGGCCCATGCAGTTCGTCGGGATTCGAACACTGGACAGAACTACCAGTATTGAGCTACTTGACCGCTCGGTCACTAGTGGACGATCTTTTCAGGATGGCAAATACTTATTGACTCTTACCTATCCAAACTAGAAAGCTTTAAATTAATTAGAAGCACAAATAAGGAAGCTGTTTTATCTGACAGCGAAGAATATTCTTCAAAATATTTATCTTCACATATTTACACTTTATCATATCTTACATCAACATTTTAGTCTCCTTTAATTTCTATTTCATTTCATTTCTTTTAAAAATGCCTTAATTAGTCCAAAGGGGCTTTGTACCTGAAGGACTACTGTTTTCGTTTTGCGATTTTGCGTTGAATCACTATAAATGTCCGTTTCACTTTTCAAACTGTTGCCACCAAATGTTAGAATCCTGCATTATATTTGAAGAAATTAAATAATGAAAAATCTACATAAATGTATGTATATTTCTCGCATTGTAATAAAACAACGGTACATAGAGGCATTGAATTTTGAATGAAGTAATCCTCCTACGAGTATGGGCGTTTGAAAGACAAAATTTGAAATTTGGAATTTGTTTTATGATCAATTTCATATTTTGTAAAATGAAATTGATCATAAAACAAATTTTTGAGTAACAAACTCAACTCAACGATTTGAAAGCGAGCAACAATCTACGAGGATGAAAAACCATTTTTATCTCCAGCGCGCGGAACTGTATATTGGAAATTCTAAAGATAGGCTCATTTTAAAATTATTTTGCGACATTGCTGTTGAACTGAATTTTATGGTTTAAATACAAAGAACATGATATTTAATAAATAAAGATTAACGCACAAAAGATTAAAAAACGCCCCTTTGGATGTAATTTAAAATATGACACCTTTTAGATTTTTTTATTGTTATTATTTTATTTTTACATGGAGAGAAAAAATTGTAAGACATTTTGGCATTCTCCCATTGTTATTTTAGAATTACTCGATTTTTTTTTAATTTGTAGGTTTTAGTTTTTTTATTTGTATTTGTATTTATTTTTATTTGTATTTATTATTATTCTGCTAATTAATAATTTATTTGTATTTATTTGTATCTTCAACAGAGCTCTAGCACTTATTTTCCGAACTCTCTTCTATACGATTCAGAGCATAATTAATGAAATTAAGTCCTACCGGAGGTATATAAGAAAGCTTACCAATTTCAGCTTGCTCGGTTCCAAAGCTCCTCTTTCCCACCCTGTTTTCTCCTGGATCGTAGTATTCTCCGTCGCATAGTAAGTTGAGGGTTTGTACCAACATTCTTCCACAAAGCCGTACATTACTACCCCTCTTCATTACAAGTTTCGGTTCTAGGGCAGCGGCACCATCAGTCGCTGAAGATACGATAAACCCAATAGTCATCACGACGAAAATTAGCTATTTCAGTAGAAAAAAAGCAAAAATGTTATTACAACAGGTACAATTTACCAATAACGCAATCATTAATATATATTAATGAGCCTCATAAAAATACTATCACAAAGCACATAACAATTGAGCAAGTTAATCATAATAATACAAATATGCCAATATCGAATCATGTAATTAAAGCTACGATTACATTAATAGCTATAGACCAGTGTTTCTCAACCTTTTTTTGCGCCATACACGCCTTTCGCCATTGCTAGACGATCTTTCCCTTCCAACTTCCCACGCAAACTCTAAAAATTTATTTAAATTTAGATTATTTTTTAAACAAGAAAAAGTATAGAAAATTTTGATTAATACCAAAACTTGAATAAACGTAGGTTTTTTTATTCATAAATTAAAACTAAATACTTAGCAGCTAAATAAACTGCTGACTGCATTCCCCTCCTGAAACCATGAAATTCCGCCTGATTTAGAACCCTGCTATAGATATATTAACAAAAATTACTAAATAATTTCTAATGTATATACATTAATTATTCACAACTCAAAGAGATCATGTTAAAGGAAGAAAACATAATTAATATTATTTTGTGTAAATTAATTTATAACTCATATTTATATTGAATTTTGAGTAAACTGATTTTGTGTATGTTCAAGATACATTGATTTATAAATGATTAAATTATTAATAAAAAATCTCAAATCGTAAGAAACATTATATTTATTTTAAAAATATCTATGACTTTAGAAATGATGGTGAGTTATAAGTGTAGTGTTATATTTTTCAACTTATTTTTAATAATTTTTCTTTTCAGATAAATATTCGCCTCTTTTTTGGCATAAAAGCAGCTATTTCACATTACTGTGTTAATTTCGTAGTACATTAAAATATTTTTGATTCTAACTTATTTTTAAAAAATCTGATGTGTACACTACATGACTTCCTTGAACGGAATATTAAATTATACGCAATTTTCCTGCATTTCATTTAACATATTGACTCAACAGTTAACGAATTTTGAATTAAATCTACTTTCTCGATAGCGCATAAACCACAATAGAATAAGTGCACTTTTTTAAGTTCACTATATATATTTACCATACCGACACTTAGGCGCTTCGTTCACTTAACAGAGTTACATCTCATTCATTTTATAACTCAGAGTGTACAAAAATTATATCATCTGAAGAATTGGCACAAGTCCTATTCAAATGCCATAACAAATCTAAACGATGACGAAAAATTAAACAAATAAAAGAAAACAGTTTTTCACAGACGATTCAGCGCTGCTTACCTGATGCGCATGCGCTACTAATTGATTCAGTTTGTCACTCGGAAGCAAGGCAAAAATACATAAAAATTCAAAATATTTTCATTAAAATTGAAAGATATGGAAAATCATAAAACACCAAGTACCGTTGAAAAATTAAAAAATAATTTTTACAATTAAAATTACAGTTTGTAAGCAAAAACAAGCTAACTTAAATGATCATTCCAGCATAATTTAATTTAATTAAGCATAATTTAATTCGCAATAACAAAAGAAGACGTTACTTTGTTGTTGCGAAGCTTAGTTTGTCTAGATTGGCAACAAATCCACTATTCCGCTAAGTTTCAAACGTAAACAAATATGGCTGCTATCATAATCAAAAATTAGGGCTAGCCTCACTTAAAAAACTTTTAATGTTGATAATTTCACAATATTGCATGCACGTTAACTAAAGGATAAACATCTTAACCGGAAGATAACACAACTTACGTCCATTTTTAAAGGAAAAACTTTACAATTACAAATTACAACATATTAAAGCAAAGAACTAGCTGACTGAAACGAGTAACAGAGCGGAGATATATATATATATAATTTATTACTAAGAAAACTTTAAAAAATTCTAAATTTATTTTCAACAATTGTAACATTAATCATACTAACTATTGCTGATCATCCATAAAGACTCTGTCATTAATGCCATCCAACAATTGACTACAAAACATTAACTGCTATGACTTTGAAAACTTATATACCTCACTTCCTCTAGAAGAAATCTATACCAGTCTACTTGATCTGCCTAAACTCTTCCCTGATATGCTCATGATCATGAATCTTGACAAATGGAAAACCTACCTAAAATGCACACTTTTTCATAACTACATAAATTTCAAATCAACTTTTTAAACAAGTCAGAGGATTGCCAATGGGCTACTTCCAGCACCTCGATCTGTATATCTTTTTATTTATCAAAGAATTTAACTTCCAAAATAATTTACAACAGCAAGAATTAAATTACTACAGGCACTCTTACAGATATATTTATGATCTTATTACTTTTAATAATTTTAGATTGAATGCTCCTAGATTTATCCTTATTTATTAAGATTGAATGCTCCTAGATTTATCCATAATGCCTTACGCTTAATAAAACTAATCATTCGCAAAATAACATCGACGCTCTCAATCTTCAAATCATTAACAAAAAAACAAAAACAAAAAAAAAATTACTGTTTGACAAAAGAAGAAACTTCAATTTCAATACTAACAGATTAATAAGTTGGACTTCCAACATCTCCAAAAAAGTTATTAGTAATACAATAATAAATCAAATACAACGTATTAAAAATATTTGCACAGATAACGATAGATCAACAACGCGAAATTTTGCTCCTTATTAAAATTCTCAAAAATAATCTAATACCTAATTGATTATAAACCATTGTCTTAAAAGGGGAGGCGTTAAATACTCACTCTAAATCATTTAATTGATAGGGATATGATAATTTGTTTCTAAACCTGAGAAGGCGGTATAAGTTGGATGACTATCAGTTGGAGGATTTGTATATAGTGTAATTACTCAATTGTATATAGTATGTAAAAGGCTAATTGTTTTTCAGACTTTTCTTATACTGTTACTAAAAAAATGGGCCTATTTATAATTTTTAGTCTGTCCATAGCTCTTGGAATAAAAATTCCTTTTTTCCTTTTCTAATTTTCTCCTCGTTCCGACACGACAATTAGACAGAAATTAATTAATTTCCATTCACTATTAGTATATTCAAAATTTTAACAGACTTTTCTCAATAAGATCCACAAAGTCCCACATTTTTCCCCCCTCCATAAATTACTCTCACATTTGCCGTCTGAAATATTCAAGTATCCCCGGGATAAGAATTTCGACACACAATCTTCTGAAGAACAATTTTTCCGAATTTACACACAAAAAACACTTACCGAATCCCCAAAAGAGTAAGTTGTAAGGATCTTAAGTTTTTACTAACGTTTATTTTATTTTAAATCTTTACTATCACTTCTTATTTTCTACTTCCGGCCAGAATTTATAAGCGTGAAGGAGTTTTATGCAAAGTTTGTCTGGCGAACGCCAAGTATTTAAGTGTGGCCTTTTTGCCAAGCAGAGAGAGAGGAAGCAGTGAGTTCGAAGCAGGCCGCTTACCTTAGAAGTTACGCAGTTGCTACTTTGCCTTCCAGGCCAGAGGTTTTAATCCTCTTGATAAATTAAACGTATTGTAGTGTTCACAGTCTCTGTGCTACATACGCTTCCTGTTATTATAAGGCCAATCTTCCAATCTTATTCTAAAGTTAAATTAGAGTTTAGTTTTATTTTGATATCTTTTACGTTAGACCCCGAGTGGAGGGTCATTGTATTCCGAAGTACGGAAGTCATTGTATATAAGAAAAAAATAAAGGGTTTTGTATACCCTTCGTCTGTATCCTGTCTACTTACTACAATTAGTGAACATAGCTTTAGTAAGCTCTCTGTTCCTAGTCAGGTCATTGTATGTTTCCGAAGAAGGTTAGAAGAAACATTGATTGAACCTGATAGTGGCGCCCGACGAAGAATAACCATGGCCGAGTTTCAAGAAGAACCTGTGCTGCCTGCAGAAACGGCTCAGAATCCAGAAATGCCAGCTGCCGCCCTGGAAGGATTTGGGTACATCGTCCAGACCATGCGCGCTTCGATGAAACCAGAAGCAACGTTTAATGGAAACTCACAGGTAACCAGTTTTTTGGAAAAATTGGATGACCACTTCATTCATGCTCTACCCTACCCCGTGCACGAGTTTCAAAAAGTTACCTTAGCTACCAGCGCTTTGAGGGGCCAAGCGCTTAACTGGTTCAAATGTATCGGCAGAAGTCTCTTGGGTCAAGCAGGAAGTCCCACCTATACTTACGAAAATTTCAAGACTGCCCTACTAAAAGCCTTCCCTGTTGTAAGGGATCGTGCGAAATTAGAAACGGAACTTTTCAGTATATATCAACAAAGAATCGAAAACCTCTCGAGCTTTATTTTAAGAAAAATTCACGTTTTCAAGCTCTTGTATGGAAACCGTCCGGATCCTGAAATAATTCAAGTGATTTTGCCGAGGTTACTACCCCAAGTGCAAGACTTTATTGAATTGAGAAATCCGACTACACTGGAAAAAGTTATTTGAGCTAGCAATCCAGTTTGAAAGTAGAAGAACGGCGGACGTCGAAAGAAGACGCCAATATCAACAGCGAAACCAATTTGGTACGCCAAGACTACAGCAAACTCAAGCACATGGCTACGGAGAAAAAGCGAATCAGTGGGCAAGGAAACCCGAGCATTCAAAAACAGCCGGCGAACGTCGACAGTTCAATAGCAACCCAGGAAAAAAGTCTCAAGGCCAGTGGAGAAAGAAGGAAAGCACCGAAAGGAAAAATAATTTAAACTAAAACGGATTTCTGCTGACGAGAGGGTGCGGAAATCCGAAGGCCACGAAAACCCCTCTTCCTACAAGTTAAATACAGTAATGGTGAAAAATTTAACTCTTCCGAAGATTGAAGTCTTGGTAAATAATATCCCGGCCACCGCACTCCTGGATACCGGCGCGCAGTGTTCCTGTGTGGCAGAAGTCTTTTTTAGAAAGTATTTTCGCAAATACCGCATATATAATGCGGATAATACAACAGTATTAGCGGCGCAAGGAGAACAATGTAAGTGCGTAGGTAAAGTACCTTTGTACATCCGTA